TTTTTCTTCCTCCTCCTTCCACCTCTCAGTCTCCAGAGACTCCTTCCATCACCACCACAGCCTCCGTCCTTTGACGTGGCATTGTGTCAGGCTGTCAGCCTGACTCTGCGACTCCTTTTCTTTTTTTCACATCAAACTCTCCCTCTTCTTTTTCTTCTCCTCCTTCTTCTTCTTCTTCTTCTTCTAATTCTTCTTTTTCTTCTTCTTCTTCTTCTTCTTCTTCTTCTTCTTCGAATCCTCTCTTTGTTCGAGAACCTTATGCAAGATGGCATCTTCAAGCGGGCCAGGCACTTCGAGGGCGAAGGAGGTGGCGGGTTTGAACAATAGGGCCACGCGCGTGAAGGAATCATTTCAGCCACAACCTAAGGCAAGGCAGTTGCAGTTGTAGGCGACGAAGCCACAACAATAGGGGCAGATGGTCCCACCATTGTCGAAGGGGCAGTACAAAGTGAAGTGCAATCTCTGCAGTGCAGATTGGGTCACGTCATACACTCGTGTGTGGCCACACTTCACATGGAAAACTAATCTATGCCCCGCTTATTATCCGAAGATGCTTCACATCCTTGTTGCGAAGGGGCATGCGATTGACTGCAAGAAGACGTTGCAACTCATCCAATTTTATCGAATGGGGCACAACATCCCCCTGGACGGTTTTGATGTTCCCGCAATTCCGGAGGTGGAGACACAACGGAACACATTGGATGCGTTCGACAGCACGGCGGAGTAGAACAACGCCGACCGCTGATGTTAATGAAGAGGCAAGAGAGGGTGTTGTGGAAGAAGGTGGTGGAATGTCGGGGACGTCTGCACAAGGATCTTTTGCGGGCTAGAAATCCGGGAAGTTTACACAAGCATCGATCAAAAGGTGGACGCACCTTTTTCGACATGACAGCCCATTCAACTATGTGAGGACGAAAGAGACACAAGAGCTGCATGATTTGTACATTGAGTTGGGGTAGAAAAAGCAACGGGTGAAAATGCCTTCCCTAGAGGTCATCCAAACTGTTGTTTTTGACATCATCTACAATAAGGTGCAGGAAGTCATGCATCCGCTGAAAGCGAGGTGGGACAACGCATGTTGCACCCTCCTCACTGATGGCTGCACAGATCAAAGGTACAGACCTATGATGAACTTAATCGGGTCTGACGAAAGCGGTGCAATCCTTTTGAAGGTCGTGGATGTGTCGAAGAAGAAGAAGACCGCAGTCGCTTTGGCGATGATATGGGAGCAGGTGATCAGGGACACTGGGGTGCAGTGGGTTAATGTAATCTGCACAGACAATGTGGAAGTCAACAAGGAAGCTGTGTGGATCCTGCGAAAGAGTACAGATCGTGACATAATATCAAGCATTTCATGAGTACCGTGCACAACTCACTACTTGAACTTGTTGATGAAGGATATCTGCGAGCTGGACTAGGTGAAAGAAATGGTGCAGCGCACAAAGATGATTGTCAAGTTCATAAGGAAACACCATAACACCGCCAGCCTTTAGACGAGGTGCTCAGAACTTTCCAGGGAAATGACCTTGATTTTGCCCACGAAGGTCCGGTTTGCTTCCGCATTCATGATGATGTTCCGGTTTTGGGGAAGGAGGTGTGTGCTTGAGGAGATGATGGACAAGGAGTGGAGGCAATTGAGATGGAGCACAAGGAAAGATCGAGACAACTCTCACCTGACGTACCAGACTGTTACTATGCCCGAGTAGTGGGAGAGGATGCGCACTATTTTGGATGTGTTGAAACCGATATACGAGTTATTAAGGAAGATGGACCGCAAAGACACAAGCCCCCGGGCCCTATGGCACTGCGACGAAGGGTTGGGCAAGAGTCTGAAGACACTTACGCGTTTGGCCGATGACCAGATCATGAAGGCAGTCGACCAATGCACGAAGATGATGAGGCAGCCTGTTTATGCAGCAAACTTTCTCCTTGACCCAAGGAAAAGAGACAACAAGTGGTTGATGGACATACACTCCCCGCTGGTCCAAAACACCCTCAAGTTCTTCTTATCACAGTGCAAAGAGGAGGCTACTTGGGGGTGCAAGGAGCAGCTAAATTTGTGGGCGGACTTGCAAACTTTCCACAAGGAGTCAATTGAAGACATGTTGGGAAAGGATCCAGTGACAAGAAGAGTGGTGGAGGAGAGCTTGTGGACTGACTGCGCGACGTTCGACATCTCCCTTGCTCAAATGACAGCCTCTGAATGGTGGAACCTCCATGGGGTCTCTCATAAGAAGGCGCGAGACATTTCCATGAGGGTGACGACGATGTGGAGCGCTCGAACCCCTTGTGAGAGAAACTGGTCCTCTCTCGATCTTGTCAACGACAAGAGGAGGGATCCGCTGTCGCCTGACAGCCTTGCCAAGTTAGAGTACATCCACTGGAATCTTCAGCTGTTGGACATCAAGAAGAAGAAGAGCACGGAAAGCTTGGCAAGGTACTTGGACATGTGGGCTGCATTGAAGTTCTTCAACGATGGGGAGACACCAATGTCGAATGATCCTGCGGTGTTGCCAAAGGCTGCAACTCCAGCAGACTTGAGTGATGACGAAGTGGCCCGCCAGGCAAATCTAAAGAAGATCCCATGAGCTAGAGTCATGAAGCCTTATGCGGTTGATGGATTAAGCTCCTCGAACATCAGTGATGATTGGGAGGACCTCATTTGGAGAGGCAAAAGCAAAAACAAAAAGGTTGTCGAAGTTGTTGATGGTGGCAAAGGCAAGGCGCAGATGGGTGTGGACGACGAGGAAGAGGATATTGAGGAGAGCGAGGAAGATTACGAAAATTTTACGTTGTGGTTGCCAAGAGCGAGCGGCATGTCCAGCAACGACAACGAACTAGATGACGACCTTACACGTAACAAGGAGCGGGGTGACCTTGATAGTGATTTGGAGTTTTTGCTGCCTCGGGGGATGGACTTCAACGGACTTCGATGACGACGCTGAGAGGGCGAGGGCGCAGTCCCTTGCTCATCGTGATCACGCCCTCGTGGAACAACGGATTCGAGAGGAAATAACAAAACGAAGTGTTGTCCCCCCTCTGAGAAGGATGGACGATACAACGACGGGACCCGGCGCATGTCTACCAGCGGAGGGGGTTCAGCGGCAACAACAATTGGAAGGCATGCAATGGTAGCAACAAGAGGAAGAAGTTCAGCAGCAACAGCAGCGAGAGGAACGACTGCAGGAGCAAAGACAAGGGGAAGGCCTGCAATAGCGGATTCAAGGGGGAATGGATGTGTTGCGGCAACGACAGCATCAGCCACAGAACGACGGATTGCAGTGGCAACATGAGCAACAGCAAGAGGATGGGAAGCAACAACAGCAACAACAACAACAAGGACTAGAGCAGCAACAATAGCAACAAGAGGGACTGCATCCGCAACAGCAGCAACACAAGGATGGAGTGCAGCAGCAGCAACAACAAGAGCAGGATGGACCGCAGCAGCATCGGCAGCAAGAGGCAGAAGCAACGAGAGCACAATCCGTTGCAGCAGCAGCAAAACGAAAACGGAAGTGCAAGGGGAGTTACTGCGTACACCAGTCGGTCATCAGTGCGCAGTGCAGCAGTCGTTCCAGGTGTGGTTCAAACCCTTCCTTTCCATGCGCAGGTCAAGGGCGTGCAGCACGACAACGTGGACGTGAGCCTGGCAGGAAGGAAGAAGAACGTGCAGCCTGACACCGGTCTAAAAGTGGCAAGGAAAAGGGGGCGCTCGCGGAAGTACCCACTGCAGCCAGCTGCATCAGCATGTGCTCGGACCGGCGAGGATGGTGGTGAAGGGGGTGAGGTGGAAGAGCATGTCGCTCGGGTGAGGAAGGTGCAAGGGGGCCCTGCACTCACATTGGACGGTGTGGAGACACGCCTGTCAAAGCGGCTGAAGAGAAAGGCAGCAAGGAAGGCGGGGGTCGTGGAAGATGATCCGACGGATGCGGAAGAAAGCAGCAACGAGAGTGATGAAGATGTCGGGAAAGCGACTGGGAATAGGACTCAGCGGGGGAGGAAGCTGGAAGCCCCCACACTTGCACCGGTCTGAGGGCTGATAATGTTCAATGGTCATAGTCGTCAAGTGTCGGAAGTGGTGATTCTTCGCACAGTTTATCCCTTGGGTTTTCCAAGGCAATCAATGTTGTGCCACTTCATTCTTGTACTTCTTCTTCTTCTTTTATGACTGTTAGGCTGTTAACATGTTGTGTCAATTGTGCAACAGACTCTCTGAAACTTTCGGCTGCACTTTGCCACTTACGTCGTTTTCAGGTTGCGATTCTTTACAACATGACTTCGAGTTTGCTTGCATGGTTGCTTGGAATCACGGGAAGCAGCGGACTGAGCGTGAGTGCGGACTCAAACTGAGTCTGAGTGTCGTATCCACACTCATACCGATTCTGGTGTTGGAGACCAGCGGGACAGAGTTGCTCAGAGTTTGCTGCTTGAAATCACGGGGACCAGCAGACTGAGTCTGAGTGTGGACTCGAACTTAAGTTTGTGTCCACACTCAGACTCAGTCTGCTGCTCCCCGCGATTTCATGCAGCAAACTGTGAGCAACTTTGTCCCGCTGGTCTCCAGCAGCAGACTCGATATGAGACTTTATTTCCAGAACGATGTTGGAAATAAGGGGATTCTTATTTGCTGCTTGTGAGTGTTTCAACGTGCTTTACTTTTGCGAGTGTACGGGGGACACAGAAGCTGTTGTGTCAGCCTGTCTTACAGCAGCTGGTGCATGCTACCAGCAGCAGCCGCTCAAGCACGGGTGGGACACAACAGCTGTTGAATCCCCGATCCTGCTAGCTAAACGGACAACCCATAATCCATCCTGCTCCTGCACCCCCTACCCTCACCCTCCTCTCCCCGCCCATGCCCCCAAAACACACATGCATAGAAATGAGGCCGGATATCAGCAGTACACGGGAAGCGCAGACAGGCACCGAAGTCAAAAAAAAAAAAAAAAAAAAAAATCAGTGTTTTTTTTGCATGCCCCGGGTCCCTGGGGGTGGTCCCCCCCCCGGGCAAGGCCTCCGGGGCGCCTGGCCGGGAAAGTTAGCTAAATACCTTATTGATGGGAGTTAATTTGAGTATTATTTACTTTATACGACTTAACGAGTTGAAAATTGGGTTGAAACTCTCGTTGGTACTTCATTTAAGAAACACAAAGTTGTCCCTGCATTTGAACCATACTTGCAAGCGCACGTCGTGCGGGCGGTTCCCTACGTGCGGCGCACGCGCCCAACCGATCCCGTGCGGCGCACGCGCCCAACCGATCCCGTGCGGCGCGCGACGTGTGAGGGGAACGACCCGTCACCCCCCTCAGGAAAAAAAAAAGGTCGGATTCGAAATGGTGCGTTTGAGGCCCCCCGCCAAAATTACAAGCGAGATGAAAAAAAAAATTACAGGAGTACTGCCTCCCCTTGCTCCTTCTCCCATTCCTCATCCTCTATGGCTCCTCCTCCCTTCTCCTTTTCATCTCCTCTGACTCGTCCTCCTCCTGTTTGTCCTCCTCCTCCTGCTCTTCCTCATCCTCCTTGTCTCCTCCTCCTCCTCATACTTCCTCATCTTCCATGCCTCCTCGTCTCCTTTCCTTCCTCATGTCCTCCCCTTCCTCGTGTCCTCCCTTTCCTCCCCGTCCATGTTTCCTCCTCCTCCCGCTCGTCCTCCTCCTCCTGCCCTTCCTCTTTTCCCTCCGTCCATCTCTTCTCCTCCCCCCATCTCGGCTCCTCCTAATCGTCCTCGCTATCCTCGTCGCCCTCCTCGTCCACATCCTCCACCTCCTCTCCATATTCCCCTCTCCTCGCCATATCCCCATCTTCCTGTCATACACCCCCCCCCCCCGTTCCTCCTCCCAAAAAAGATAAAAAATAATAATAAAAATAAAAAACCTGCACAATTTCGCACAGGCACCCCCCGCACGGAACTCCGCACAGAACTCCGCACGAATGTGCGGCTCGTACGGTTGCAAGTATGATTTGAACATAAGAGTAATAGTACTTGACAAGTTGACACTAAATGCCTCTGATTCGATTTTGTTGAGCGAACTGGAATATCATTCATTATGATAATTCCCTCACAGTTGTTTTTACCGTGATCGTACTTGACAAGCTGACACTAAATGCCTCTAATTCGATTTTGTTGAGCGAATTGGAACACAATTCACTGTGATAATTCCCTCATAGTGGTTTTTACCCTGATTGTAATATTTTAGTTTTAATTTTCGTTCGTCCGCTCCATTAAGTGGTTTTTTCCCTACTCGAATACCCACACGAGGCTAATGTTACTCTGCAGTGTTATTGTGCAATGGTTGTGTATTGTAAGGCCTCGTACGAGTGTTTAAATGAAAGAGAGTTTTAACAGCGCTCTGTGTATCATTCGATTGAGTTTGTTGTTTAAGGTACTTTTTACATCATACTAGTTTCATCTTTACATTATGGTTAACCCCATGCAGCGCACGAGCTAAGCTCATCACCGGACGATACCGTACATACTACTAATAGGGGTTAAGTTGCCGACTATACCCCAACTACTATTCGAAAGAGGTTATTTGACAATTGTACTATGAGCGTCTCTTGATTTTGAACTACCAATTGTGATTGTTCAATACAGTCTAGAAAGAGTCCACCACTAACTATATTCAGAGTGTTATTTTTTAGTGGGCCGTCATTGATAATACGACTTTAACTACCTGAGAGGAGTTTACTAATTGCGATACTTTGAGTATTACTCAAACAGAGTACTGCTAGTAGTGTTTTGTGTACCAGTTGAAGATAATAGCACTTGTGCATCATTCGATTATTTAGGGTACTCTAGACATCTTATCAGTTTCATTTGTACATGATGGTGAACCCCATGTAGCGCACGAGCTACGCTCATGACGAGACGATACCCTACATACTACTCAAATGTTTAGTTGTCAATAATACCCGAGCTACTATTCGAAAGAGATTATTTGACAATCAATATTATGAGTGTCTCTTGATTTCAGACTCATTTGTGACTACAGTCTAGGAAGAGTCCACCACTAATTATATTCATAGAGCTATTTTTTAGTACACCACCATATGTAATACAATATTAACTCCGAGAGAGGAGATTACTAATTGCGATGCTCCGAGTATTACTCAAACAGAGTTTACTCCTAGTAGTGCTCTGTGCACAAATTAAAGACAGGTGTATTGCTAGCAATACCCTATTTATTATTCAAAATGGGTGTTTCACACTAATGTCACCTAAAAAATATCTCCTAAGGGCAGGTCTCCCCGATTAGTTATGAACACTATACAAAGAGCACTACGCAATAAACAAATATTAGATGAAATCATAGCACTCTACTCCATCTGGCTAGGGATCAGACTCAAAGTCCTCTCTCAGAGAACAGAACATGCTTGGGATGAGTGCGGGTTGTCCTTTTAAAGAACAAACTCTGGATTAAGAATTTGCTGACTGTATACCTTTCTCGACCTTTTGGCTAAGATCAGGTGTAGTATTTGTTCTAATCAGTTTAATATCCGATCCATAGTCCATTGGACCACACTGAAAAAAAAAAAAAAAATAAAAAAAAAAAAAATAAAATAAAAAAATTTCGCACATTGTTACAAGCCCTTAGAATCGGAGACACTAGAATCGGGTTGTTCTTATCACTAACCTCCAATTGGTACTAAAGAGTCTGAGCTTGAGTTCAAACCCATTGTCTCGCAACAAAACAGTTACGCACTCACTGATAAGAACAGTGAAGCTATCTGTTTCACAATTTAGATCAAGGACTCGGAGACAAATGGGTTTGAACTCAAGCTCAGAGGAGTTATGACTAAATAAGTTGCCTGCAAGGCTACACTCAATAAACTGCCTTTGGATTCAAGGATAGTACAAACTCAACTAAGTCAGTGAACCCCACATTTACACATGCAACACGTATTATACACTTTCATCAATCGAAACCGTTCTAAGGGCAAGAGAGGTTATAAACTCTCAATAGGCCTAGAATGAAGAGACACCTCCCTCAGTTCCCTGCAAATGAATTGATTGATCATTCGAGCTCAGTTTCGTGACAAACATTCGTTAATATCTATTTGTATATCATTAGGAGCAATCATCAATCAATTTTCCAGTGTTCAGTATCATCTTTAACAACAACATGTTCAGATAATCGTTCATAAAGTCGGAAAGTTTCAAGAGATGTTTTCACGAGTTCAATCTGATCCTTTTATTGCTTCAAGGTGCCCAACAATGATCATCAATTTACTTCCCATATTGGCATCAGTTAGTCGGTGCTTTTATCAGTGCCACCATCAGCATTCCCTTGATGATTCTCTATCTGCGCTCGATTCATCTCAGCACATGAGTACTACCACTTTGTTTTCGATTCAACAGACTGCCTTGACTCATCTCAACAAGATAGTTTCCAAAGATGCTTTCCAGTACTAGTATGTCAGTGTGGTTTGTATGAGACCAGGAGATCTGTCTTCGTGATCCTTACTGAGTTTGCAAAGGAAACTATTCAATATGTGAGGATGTATTTGAAAAGGGGAAAAACACTCATTTCGATACAGTTTGGGTTACAACAGTTCGATATATTGAGGAAAGAGCATGAATGCTTCAGAGGGATACGAAGCTGGTTCGTGGCTTTGGCCCTTAACTATACACAGGCTACCCTAGGAAGTCGGTTCCTTCCTCCTCATCGACGTTATTTGTTAGGCTGATTTCATTGGCCTGGTCAAGAGGTACATTTAACCGAGCCATCAGGGTTCGGCCATCTCCGACAAGCGATCTTCTCCAGGCGATATCTTCGTACTCTAGAAGGGGTTGACTTTCAAATCTTTGAACTCGGATGGACTTATTAAAAACTCTACCTTTAGATGATTATACATATTTACACCACAATCTCGGGAAGTACATAGGCGTGGCTCAAGGCGTCGAAGAAGCACAGTTAAGACTTAGAGACAGATGAGTGAGGCCTCTTAACGAGTCTTGTCCATGTCTCTTCACCTGCACTTTCTGAGACTATTATGAGCTATTTTTCCTCATTTATCTTATCTTTACCTTAAAGTCAGTCCTGCTGCATTCAGATTAACGTTGTTTGATCTTATGCTCTTTGTTCATCCTGTCATTATTATCAAATTCCTACATTGACAAATTTCATACGTGCATGACAT